TGACTCAGGTCACGTGCAGCACCTTAGACTTTAAAGTGACTTTATTGCTCTGAGCATATGCTTCTTTTTGCCAGTTGTTTTTCTTCTTGAGACAATCAGGTCATCCATTTTAAACTTCCGGGCTTCCTAGTTCCATATGTTTAATGATTCTGGTCTTTGCCTTTGCCTGAGAGACTGACCATTTAGGCAACAGGACCACCACAACTTCCACAACCATCACCGCCTCCACTTCCACAGGAGAGCAGTGGTGGCCGAGGATGTTGCCATCTGTGTGTAACGCACGCTTGTCAGCATGTCCAGTGTGCATCGGATTCCCCAGCTCAGCCGCCTTGTCAGTCCATTCGTCTGTCACCAGGCCAGTAGCCGGATCAGTGATCTGGGCCATCTCTCTCTTCATACAGATGCAAACACAAGGCTGCAGAGGGAGAGAGATGCTCCCCAGGGCTGCCATCATTTCGTGTAAATATCACACGTCTCCTGTGTGTGTTTGCCAACCATGCCCACCCTCCACGAGACATTTTCATTAATGTCTTCGTGCCAGGTTTTTTGGTGTGTTTCTGTTGGAGGTAAAGTACATAGCTACAAAAATACTTCTTTGTGGGGAGGGCATGGTTGGCCAACAAGAAGCAGAAGGCTTGTGTTATTTGCATAAGAATATGATAATCATAGAGAAACCTGGCAAGGGGTCTCATCCCACAAACACAAATGTATCTGTGATTATTTAAGAGTCCGCCCTCTATGTCAGGACATCTCATCCCGTTCACAGTCCTGGCTAAATACTGCCAGAATCTCTTCAGCTCAGGGGTCATCATGTTCTTTGTCAACTCAAGCTGTCCTCATTGTTCAAGCCTTGTTAGTCCTGTGCCTGGACAGCCTGTCTTCTAAAATGTATCTCTGTCATTTGTTTTTTGTTCATTTGAAGAAGAGGAAGTTTAGTGTTTTCTAGCCTATGAGCCTGGACCTGTTTGGTACTTTTTGTGACTTAGGGTTGTATTCAGCAAAGCCTTTGTAAAGGTAGTATGCTAGTTGCATTTGATATGAGCAAATAATATGATTGTAATGCTTTAAAGGGAATAGCCTTAAGTATGCATTATACCACAAAAGAAAGGAAAGAAAAATCCTCACACTGAGCTAATAAACAGCATCCTGATAAAGGGAGAGAAGGTTGAAGTTCTTCAGGATTTCATTTTACTTGGATCCAGAATCAATACCAATGGGAGCAACGGTTAGGAAATCAAATGACATACTGTGTCGGGCAAATCTGCTGGCAGGGATCTTTATAAAGTGCTGAAGAGCACGGATGTCACTTTAAAGACTGAAGTGCACCTGACTCAAATCATGGTATTTTCAGGTCCATGTGAAAGTTGGAAAACAAGCCTTTGAATTGTGGTGAAGAATATTGAATATTCATAGCATCGACAGCCAGTAAAGCAAGCCAGTCAGAAGTAGTGTGCCCGCAGTGCTTCTCAGAGGCAAGGACGGGGAGACTTCAGTTCATACACTTTCAGAATGCTTTCAGGATGGTTCCTTGAGAAACAGAACATCCTGCCTGGGAAAGTAGTGAACCAGCAGAAGAGGGAAAGACCCTCAAGGAGATGAGTTGGCACAGTGACTACAACCATGGGCTTGCCCGGGTGGGGCTCTGTGAGGATGGCACAGGCTCAGGCGGGGTTACAGTCTGTCCATGGGCTTGCTATCCATCAGAGCCAGCACAGCAGCGCCTAACACCAAGGGCCACCAGATCTGGGTCTCTTAATTGGACACTGCAGCTTCCATTCAGTGTGTCCAGTACTGTCCGCCTGCTGGTGCAGATGACAGCTAATCATCTGGTCTTAACAGCATGACTAGTTCTTTGTTAATTGGCCTTAGACTCTGGTTCTTTCTAATGGCCTTCCATTCCCACGGCCACTGTTCTTCCCCATGGGGGTAGCCGTCCAGCACCTTACACACAAGTCACTCACTAATAAAAACACCCTAAATAAGTGAACGTACCTGTGGAATGCTGATGGGCACATTATTTTGAAGAATACTTACAGTATGATATTCCTCTTTCTCAGGAAAATTATATAGACAGTGATAAGATACAGGCTGGGAAGATGGTTCTTAATTTCTTCCCTTCAGCCAAGAGGACAGTAGTAAATATTTTTTGTTTGGTTTTGCCATAAAGAAATGGAATAGATGATGCTTTGTGTGAGAGTTTTGTTTTGTTTTATAGTTGGCAGTTGGTAGCATACGTCTCTTTACCCCATGGTAGCAGATATCTCTAGTGTAAAAGTATCACTTCTGATCAAAAAGGATCTAGCTGACCAGGCTTCTCTAAGGTATGTTGTTGTTACGTGCTTATAGCTGACCCTCCAGGACATTTTCAGAGTCTTTAAATCACACGAGAGGAGAATGCTCGTCTTTCTTGCACAGAGTGGCTGGTGGATTTGAACCTCATGCCTTTGGGTTGCCAGCACAATTCCTCACCACTCAGCCACCAAATGGGCAGCTGAAATGGCCACTGTCCAATTAGAAAATGCTTCCAGGATTACCGGGCTATTGTTATCATTATTGGCTTGCAGATCAATTTGTTGCAAATGTATACACATTCAGCAGCGCCATTCATCCAAAAATATGTTTTATACTTAACACATTTGTCCCACAGTTATGATGCTTTTATTGTTGCCGTTTATTTCTTTGTTTTAAATATTAAAAAAAAAAAGAAAGCTGTTGATCTTTTCATGACCTTTTCTTTACTCTTTCCTCTGAAGAATCCATTGGGAGAAAGTAAAGATGCTAAGGATTGTCCAGCAGACAAGGACATAGATATGGACCATTATGTTCCAGAAGGATCAGCCTTTGAACTAGAGAATTGTTCTACCCCTTTTCTCCTCTCTATATTCTTTTTCTTGGAATTCTCTGCCTGTTGAGTGAGGCCATCTTAGATTCACACAAGCGTGTATCTCAGCATTCATAGAAGAATGTTGGAGTGTGTAAGCATTTGGATGCCATCAGAACCCCAGGTCATCTCCTTGGTTATTTTTGTCCCCACAAAAGTACACTGGGAACATCCTCTGACCTGCAAATTATCAGGGAAATAGATTTTCATGTTAGTGCACTATTAATTCAGGGTATCACAAAACATTTTCATGTAAGAGACGCGTACATATATTTATATTCTCGTTCATTTTCTTTTTCTCTTGCTTTGTGTAACAGAATCTTGTAATCATTTGCTTCCGTTCTAAAAGGGACATCGTTGAAGCTCAGTGGGCTGTCGCCCACACAAGGCCAAAGCCAAACCCGTTGCCGCGGAGTCAGTTCAGAGTCACAGCGGCCATGTAGGACCGAGTAGAAGCACCACAGGGTTTCCAAGGCTCATGACCTTTACAGACACAGACCACCACACCTTGATCCACAGGGCGGATGGCAGGTTCACAATGCTGACCTTTTGGTTGGCAGCTGAACATTTTACCATTGTACCACCAGGGCTTCTCCTAAAAGAAATGAAACTAAGACTATCCTTGCTGCCAGCCAGCCAGTCCTAACTCACAGCAGCCTTCTGTTGAGATTCCAAGGAGGTAAACCTTTACAGGAGACTGCCTATATTTCTCCTGTGGAGCTGCTAATGTATTCGAACCATCAATGTTTTGATTAGTGTCCTAACATGTTACTCACTGTGCCCTCCCCGTACACATCTGTGTTATTTCTATAAGGGATGACGTTTATGTCTAACAAAACAAATAAGAGAACAGAATTACTTTGGGTGGGTTTTTTTTATGGTTTTGTGGATTTTTTTCAATATAAGTTCATTCTAAAGTCTTTACGATTCTACCCTACATTCAGCAAAAGGCCAAGCAATAAACCAGGGGGTGTGACGGTCACAGTCATTGTGTCTTCAGGACTCGGGGTTTTATCCTATGGGCATTGCAATGGCCAGAGCTTGCCTTTTCCAGCCATCACCCCTTTGCTAGAAAATTCTGTCTTCCCTCCCCGAGCTACCTTGAAGTTTAAGAGATACACATAATTTTTTTTAGTATGTTGACAACCCTTATGCAGACTTTTAATAACATGATCTTGGTTTGTAGCTAGAAACAAAAACCAAAATAGAAACTTTAAGTTGAATGTAAGGTAACTCCAAAAAGCCATTTTTCAAAGTCACTTGTTGACAGATTATGCTTGCAAAATCTAGAGAAAAACTTTTTTTTTTAATAAAATGTGGCAAATTGAATTTTCACATCCTGTGTTCTCTACCAGTTCTGAAAAGTTTACTCTTTTTTCATGAAAACTATGTCAGTTGGTTTATGGCATTCTTAAGATGCCATATGATGTATTATTTTTGTACAAAGGTTCTTAAAACTTTGAATTCTTAATTTAGAATTATTCCTTTGCATATTCAGTTAATATATCATAGATCTAATTTTTATTGTGCTGTTAGCATTTGCTAAGACTATTTCATATTTGTTACGAATGGAATTAGTCCCTCAAAATAAATCAGACTTAATTTTTTTTATTTACTGTCTTAAAACATAAAGCCTGTCAATGAATCCGACATGTATTTTCCTCCTTTATTAACAAGTTTTATTAAAACAAACAGCTTTTGCTTATTTCCTGGGTGCTACTTGAATGTATTTATCAAGAAACAGTTTTATTTCTCACATTAAGATTTTTAGCTAACTACATAAAGATACTCTGAGTAGACCTCAGAATTCACTACACAGTAATTGTCTTTTGGGGGAGCTCTGGTGGCCTAGTGGGAAGAAGCTGTACTGCAATACCAAAGGTACACAGTTCGAATCCACCAGATGCTCTGCCGGAGAAGGAGGGACAGTTTCCTCCTGTACCAGTCAGATCTGATTTGACAGTACATGCACAAAAAATTAAAAAAAAATAATTATCTTTTTTACAAGTTGACTGTTGCTGGGTGTGGCTTTCCTGTTAAATTAGAGAATAGAAGGTGATTACTAAAACTTAACTGTATCTTCTCTGTTCCTTCTAATGATACTGATTTCCTTTTGCAGTGCTCCAGCTGAGGCTGCAACAGAGGAGGACAAGAGAACAACTCGTGGACCAGGGCATCATGCCACGTAAGAGCCTCAGTGTCATGATCATCTCTAAAGTGACGTAGCGAGACAGGCCTTTCCAGGAAGCACGCACCTTTCTCACACTGCTGTCAGCTGTATCCCTCTAAACAACACACACTTGCCACATGAATTTGTAAGAAAAAAGAAATCAGGCATAAGAGAATCTTTTAGAATATACTTTTAATGCTGCTTTAAAGATCGACTTGAATTTTATATTATGCAAAGTATAGCCTTACGGCTCTATACCTAGGTGAGCACCAGTTTTTACTTCAAGTGTCAACATTTGTTTAAGATAGTTGAGCTCATCACTGCATAACGGATCTGAGATTAGCTAGACTTGCGGGAGTCAAATGATGAATTCACAACCTTGTTCTGGTTTAAAGTCGTGAATTCAGATGCATTCTCTTCATTGTTGCCTTTTATGTGTTGCCCTGCAGTAGTTCTGACTCCTGGTGACCTTGGGCACAACAGAGCAAAACTCTAGCCAGTCCTGTGTATCCTCACAATTGACTGATGTTTGAACCATTCCCGCAGCCACTGCGCCATTCTGTCATGTTGAGAGTCGTCTTTTCCCCCCCACTGACTCCCTAGCTTACAGCGCATGTTGTCCTTCTGCAGGGACTCGTCCCTCCTAATAACATACCCGGCGACCAGAAGGCAGGGCTCTCCGTGCTCACTTCTTAGGATCATTCTCTCTATACTTCTTCCAGAGTTGTTCTGTTCATGAATGAACCTTTTGTTTCTGGTTTTTTTGTTGTTGTTTTGGTTTTTTTTTTTAACCTCAGTTTTCTTACCCAGCCCTGCAATGTGAAGGGGGGATCCATTCTTCTCTGGTCTTCCTTAATTCATTGTCCAACTTTGACCTGCAGAGGAAGCAATAGAAGATACTATGGCCTGGCTTGGGCTCTCCTTGGTCCTCAGAATGACACCTTTGCTTATTAACTCTTTCCCAAAGTCTTTTGCAACAGATTCATCCAAGGCTGTATGTTGCTTGATTTCTTAACTACTGCTACCATGAACATTATAACTCCAGGTAATATAAAAGCCTTGGAGAAATCAGTCTTTTTTTCTATTTCTCATGATACTCCTTATTGGTCCAGTTGTGAGGACTTTTGCTTTGTTTGCACTCAGGTATAATCCACACTGCAGAATGTCTAGTCTTTGATCTTCTCCTGTAAGTACTTTGAGTCCTCATTGCTCTCAGCAGGCCGTTCATACTCTGTAACCTGTTACGTTCATATCGCAGGATATGAATGAGTCTTCCTCTAATCTTGGTGCTGTGTTCTCCTTAATGCTGTAGTTTCTCAGATTATATGCTCAGCATACACATTGAACAGATTTGCTGAAAGGCTCCAACCCAGACGTGTACCTTTCCTGATTTTAAACTATACTGTTTTTTCCTTGTTCTGTTGGAACAACTGCCTCTTTTTTTTTTAATGAACATCTACAGAGATTTTGGAATTCCATTCATTCATTGTTGCACTTTTCTCCCCGCCCACCCCACCCCCAACAACTGCCTCTTGGTCTACACATGTCCGTATTCTGCATGAGCACAAGTGTGTGTGCTGGAATTCCTAATCTCTGCAGTGTTTTCTATAATCTATTAGAATTCTCTGATTTCAGCCAAGATCCATCTGACATCAGCTGTGCTTTGCCATATTACATGTCCTTTTCTGAATTTGTCTTTAATTTCTTGTAGTTCTCTGTTGATAATAATGCTGCAGCTGTTTTAGAATTGTGTTCAACAAAACTTTACTTGCCTGTTTTGTGGTTCCCATATTGTTAGATCGCCGTTCTTTAGAATGGGCACAGATAAGGATCCCTTGAGCACTTCAGCATTGTATCTGTTTGCTGAAACATCTTGATTGTTATTCTGTCAGTTTTTGGAGGCTTATTTTTATCAATACCTTCCATACTGTCAGCTTGGATTTCTTTCTTTATTACCATCAATTCCTGATCATATGCTACCTTCTGAATATTTGCATCTTCTTTGTTATTATTCTGCCACATTAGCAAATAAAGGTCCTTCAGTGACTGAAAGTCTTCCTCCACCCACTTTATTGAGACTGACTTTGTTGTGAAGAGGTGATTCTTCATATTTTTAGTATCTTTTCAACTTGAGGGACTCATATTCTGGCAATGTATTAAGTAATTATGCTACTCATATCATTTCGCTGGCCAGTATTCTTCCTTCCTCCTCGTCTGTCTTTGTCTGAAAGTTTTGCTGAAACTGGTCTACTATGAATGGGCCTGCTGGTATTTGGAAACTAGGTGATGGAGCTTCCGGGAGCCACAGTAGTATGATGAGATGTCACTGCCATGAAATACATAAACCCATTTTCTGTATAATTCTATTTTAGATTTTTATTTCCTTTTTTGTGAAAAGCAGCACTTTAATTCTGTAACATTTGAGTTTCCCAATTTCCTTTAAAAATTAGTAAATAATAGAAGTATAGGTATGAATTGATAAAATTAAGAGGAAGCACAGACATGATAGACTGTAACATTTGACTTGTGTTAACTCCTCTATTTAACTCTGGATACCTTTTTCCCTTCTCACAGCTTTGAAGAGCCCAGCAGCATTCCATGAACAGATAAAAAGCTTGGAACGAGCCAGAGTAAGACAGTTTCATTTAAAATACTTCTCTTTATATCAGTTGTTGAACACAAAGCCAATTTTCTTTGTAAACTTATATCACAATAAAAAGAATAAGTAAAATATCCTACTTCTCTTCTTCCCACTATAATTCTGAAGTAAGTTTGTACAGATATGGTCCTTACTCATAAATATGTCAATGGAGTAAATTGACTGCATTCTTGAGGTCTCTGATGGACAGAATGACACATTTTGGGATCATTTTATCTTAGAGATTTATAGGAAATGTATAACATTTGAATTTTTTTTTCTTTAAAACCAGTCATTACTTTTGGACATAAAAGACAAACCACATGTCTTCGCTTGCTTACTTTTAAGGTGTGAGCAGTTTGGGAAGTTCTATTAAGGGGGTAGTTCTGGGGGTAATTAAGGGGGTAATTGTGCCACGGTCAGTCAGTACAAGGACAGTCTGAGTAGTGGCCTCAGTGGTTCCCCTGCTGAGCCGAGGTTACCTATACATTGGACCACGGGTAGGAGAGTTGGGTAAACGAAAGAACACAGCTCAGTTCAACTCGGCTTTGTTCTTTGAAATGGCCCCACCATAATTGCACATCAAATTGTGTTGATTACATTTTTTTTCTTCCAAAGTGCCATTATATTTATTCATTCTTTTAATTCCTGTTGTTTTGGAGAAAGCTTCCATTTTGCTATATGGAAATAAGCATATCCTAGAAGTTCCTTATTGGTAGCATCCAAGATTTTTTCATTAATGATTTCTTGGAGTCTTATAGAATGGAAAAACCATGTTTAAGCCCTGTGCTTAGAATTGACTGTAGTACAGATTTTAAAAATACGATGAAAACTGTTAGCTCAACAAAAAAACGCATTAGAATTTTTAGGAAATTTCTTATCTAAGTGAGCTTTGATTTAGCCTGAATTGTTTTGATATTTGAATCATCCAGATCCTGAGTGTTAAATCAGAATTATCCTGTGACTTTGCCAGGTATGAAAGTGTAGCTGTAAAGTCCTTAGGTATACCAGCATCCTGTTCGAGTACTTACTAGGTTTTGAATCATGTACCAGATAATAGTTTAAGCACTGACATCTGCTCTTCCTTTCAAAATCATGACAAAATGCATGTTGTTGTTGTTAAATGCCGTCGAGTCGCAGGCGACTCATAGCAACCCTATGAAGGGGAGTCCTTGACGCTTGGGTGCCTTTCTTCCTCTCTCCAGGACAAAATACATACACTTTATTTAAATAGAGAACCTTGAGTAAAAACTTTAAAACTATGATAAATCAGAAAGAATTTCAAACAAGACCTTTCTTTGTGTCTTTTTCAGACTGAGAACTTTTTGAAGCACAAGATTCGGAGTCGACCAGATCGTTCCGAACTTGTGAGGATGCACATTTTAGAAGGTAAAGGTCTCATTTCTGCTTATTTTACTGCATTTTCTCAAGAAAAGAAGTGAGAATTCTACCACTCCTGTTTATTCCCATTCTAATAACTGTTTACCTGATGGTCTGACATCCTGCAAATTGGATAACAACATGAAGGCCCAAAGCTAAAATGTTCTATTAGATACGTGGAGGTTTGATTCTCGAGGTAGCCCACTGAGGGCCTGACTCTTTGTACAAGCTGGTATTGTCACTGTCTCTTTCACTAATGTTCTGGAAGAACATCATAGAATTTCTCATTTAGTGAGGGAGTTGTGCCCCTCCTCTTAGGGATACAGTTACCATAAGTATATCTCTGGATTCTCAGCTCCTTTCACCCTGCATAAGGAGGGCTGGTGGCCTAGTGATAAGAAACTACACTGCAGTCCCAAAGGCATGCAGTTTGAATCCACCAGCAACTCCAAGAGAAGGATGGGCAAGTTACCTTCTATTGAGATTAACTGTCCTCTGAAAGCCCACTAGAGGCTCATCATTGAATCAATTCTGACTTGATGGCCCACAACACTCAACATAGGGAGCTCTGGTGGCCTAGGGGTAAGACACTGCACTGCAATCCCAAAGACATGCAGTTCAAAGCCACCAACTGCTCTGTGGGAGAACTATGGGCAGTCTTCTCCTGTGTGATTTACTGCCTCTGAATACCCACTGGACGGTCAGCTGTGGGTCGGTTCAGACTTGACTGCACACGCTACATTGTCTACACAGAGCATTGCCCACACCCAGCATTTTCTCTCATAATGACTCGATCTTCCCATTTTCATCAATACTGCACTCCCCACCCAGCAAGGACCCCTGGTGGTGTTATGGTTGAACACTTGGCTGCTAACTGGAAGAACCCATTTAGCTCATGTGTAGGAAAAAAGACCTGGTGATCTTCCTGAAAGATTTCAACGTAGGAAACTCTGGGGCAGTTCTGCTCTGTCAAAGAGTTACTATGAGTCAAAATTGGCTCTGTGGGACTCAGCAAAAACACTGCCACCACCAGAGTTGTCTTGATAATCTGTTCTCATCACTTCCGAGACTGGCTGGAACCCTACCAGCTCCTCTTTGGCAAAACATATCGCTCAAGCTCGGGTGTTTCTGTTTTAGTTTTGTTTTATTCTGCTTTGTTTTCCTTTCAATAAAGAAGTAGCACTCTTGAAAGCTGGTACTGCCACCATGAGCTCCCAAATTATATTGAGAAGGAATCTCAAAACATCTGAAACTTTTAAGATAAAATTGATAGACCAAGGAGTAAATTTGATCTCTCTGGGTCTAAGGGTAGAATCAGGAGTAGAATTAGTATTAGAATTAGGCTGCTGTTACAAAATCTTCTATTGTCCCTTAGCTGAAGGAGGTGATAAGAGTCACTCTCAGTCGAGGCGTCCTTTCATTGACTGCTGTGCCAGACACAGCACATTGAACAACACAAATGGGCACCTGCCTTCATAAAGCTCACATTCCAGTGGCAGAGACACAACCAGTACAATAAACAACCACGACAAATGAATTCCAGTTTGTGAAAAAGGCTCTGTAGGAAACGAATCGATTGGATAAAGATTAAGCCCAGGCTGGTCAGTATGTAAGAAGGTGTCACGGATCCACTGGCACTCCACAGCCCTTAGAGAATCAAGAGTGTGACTTGCCTCGTTGTTCTAGAGGAAGCACTGGTTGGGGGATGTGTGCATTTCCCCTTTGGGTTGTGTTCTCAGAAGTCCAAAGGGCCAAGAAAGCTTTTCCAGAACCTCACGGTAGAAGGGTAGCAGCCACAGCTCTCAGGGCTAAGTGACTCTTCGGAGAAGCAAGGTTACTGGTAAGTAACTGAGTGAATGGCTCCTTCCATGCCTAAAAATATCCTGACCTGTAAGGAGCATTTTTGAGGAACAGTGCTGTCTTATTTCAGCTTGCCTTCTAACTCTTACCAGACTTTATGAATATAATTCAAGCCAAGGCAAATACACACTTAACTATCAAGAAGAATCAGGCTTGTCTTTTTTTTCTTTTTTGCAAAAATTCTACCCAGCATTTAAAAACCTATCAGTATATATAAATGAGCTATAAGTGATGTTTTGGGGGTATCTATTCTCAAGTTGGGGTTTTCCAAGTAAGAAAGAATGTGCCATCTACAATTTTATGAATTCATTGAACACACCACATACACCACCACCCCCCAACTGTATTTTCATACTGACTCAATTTTGATTGGAGAGGATATTTGGCAAACAAAGTATAAATTATCTTTTAAAGTTCAGCAGCCTCTTGTAGCAGATTGGGAGGTAACAAGACTGGGAGCAGAAACATACCCAAATGCCAGGCTCTAATTATTTACTTTGGAGTGTTTTCTTTCCAAACATAATCCTCCAATCACTGAATGAAGTTAATGGGAAAGAGGAGAAAGGCAGAAGACTGTGCATTGTGGATCTTAACAAAAGCATTTTAAAATCAACCTAAACACTTTTTCCTTTCTCTTACTATGATTTGAGCTAAAGTTTACAAAGCATTTTATTTTTCTCAATCATTCATATACTTTTTGTCCCATGACATTGATTACAATACCCAAAGTATCTGATTATCCATTCATTCCCTATTGCTTTTCCTTTCACCCATATTAATGAGTATTTATTATGTATTAATTAATTTTCTACACGTCTCCTCCCCTTCCTAGCTAACCACACTAGTATGATTCTCTCTGTGTGTAAACCTTTCTTCGTTGTTGTGGTGGTGGTGGTGGTGGTGGATTGCCGTCGAGTCGAGCACGACTCATAGCAACCCCATGAACAAAAGGCCTGAAGCTTCTCTATAATTATCATCTGGAAACTATATATATCTGGAAACAATAGTTTTCAGAGGCATGTTGTTTAGGAAGTGGATGCCATGGTCTTATACAATATTTATACACCTATCATTGACTCATTACTCTCAGCGTAATATCCTCTAGATACATCCATGTTATGTAGTATTTTCATGAATTCTTCATTGTGTTCTACTCTTGTGTGACTGTACCGTAGTTTTCGCTATCTACTTAGTTGTTGATAGCACTTGAGTTATTTTCCGTTCTTTGATATTGTAATTAATGCTCTGATAAACTTGGATGTACATAAATTTAGTAATGTCACGGCTCTCATTTCTTTAGCATATATTTATGTAGTAGTGGAAAGCCTGGATTGAATAATATTTCCATTTCAACTTCTAAAGGAAATGCCAAACTGCTTTCCATGATGCTTTTACCATTTGACATTCGCAGCAGCAGGATTTGAGAATTCAGTCTCTCCTCACCTTCACCAGCATTTATTGTTCACTGATTAAGTTGAACTTTACTGGCATTGCTGGGCTGGGATGCGGTAATACTTCGTTGTTTTGCTTTGTAATAGCTTAGATAGGACGGGATTCAGATCCGTTGTTCATAGGGTCACTATGAGTTGGGCTCAGCTCAGAGGCACCTAACAACAGCAGTAGCTAGTGATCTTGAGCATTTCTTTATGTGTACATTGGCCATCAATATGTATTTGGTGAAGAATCTTTTCCTAGCTTCTGCCCATTTTGTGTTTATCTTTTTGTTGTTGAGGTTTTAGAGTTTCTGTAGATTTTAGATAATTTCCCCCTATCTTTAGGTTTTCTGCTTACTCTTTTGGAGAAATTTTATCTAAGTCTTCTCACCTGTCATAGTCTTGCTTGATTTAAACAAGATCCTAACAAGACTGGGGCCACAGTTCTTTCCATCAGAGTATTAAGACAATGGAGAGGCGCGTATTTTAATTTCTGGAAAAATGTAATTGTTACCCACTATAGGTCCAGTGCCTTTACTTTAGGGATAGCTTCAGAGGGTGGAATTTATGTTACCTGTTTTACATAAACCATTAACATCGTGCATCATCCACAGTTTCTGTTTATGGTAGAGCAGAAACATAAAGGCATTTGAAAAGCAATCTGAGCTCTAAAATCTTAGCTTGTGTCCTCTTTTTCTCAGATCTTGCTGTATTTTGACGGCATTTTTTTCAGTGATTCTCCTTTATTGAGTCTTTCCAGAACTTTAGTCTGTTTCCAAGAAATCCTTTTACTTTTGAAATGTGTCATTTCCCCATAATATTTGGTGAAAATATGCGATGATAATAGATATGATATAAACTACTACTAATAATGTGTGTTATTATAGTAATATATTATTATGATACCATATATGATAATTGATAAGATCTGAACCACAGATAGGAAATATTTTGTGGACAGTTGGGGTTGGTGAGAACCCAGGTTAGCTTGTAGAATGAGAAGGGCACACATGTGCTGGAGGGGATCTTATGGCTGTGAGCTTCCAGTGAGCCCTGGCTTCAACGAGTCATGGAACCCCAAGGACGAGAATACCAGCAAGTGCTCAGATCGCTGAAGGGCAAGCACCTCAAAAGACCTTTTACTGTATAGCTTTAAAAACAAGTGGTTTTCAGATCCGAATTTTGGCTTGGCACCTTGTCGTTACTTTTAAAATAAGTTCTAATCATTTGTTTGAGTAGTGAAAGCAATTTTTAGTGTAAGTTACCAAAAGCACAAGTAATTAGAATGAGACAAATGAATGAGTTTTGATATTTAAAGCAGTTTCTCATGTGCCCTGCCAACTCTGTGCCTTTGTGAGATGATCCACTGCTGTCCATGTCCATTATAATGTAACTGAGCGCTCCTAACAGGTACAAGTTGGTTTACTCTGAAAGAAATCCAGATACTTAATTATGATGTTCAACTCTGAAATGATTGGAGCTCAGTCCAAGAATGTAAAGTATAGTTCTTCCCACTGATCCTGGAGCTTAGAGCCCCCAGTGCAGTGTCTCCTCTCCTAAGAAAAGACTCGTCAGTGGAACCAAATGTAAAAGTTAAACTTAACACAGGACCACATCTTTCTTCATCATCAGTCATGTCTCTAATACTAGTCATGGGACGTTAACTTATGCCCTATATTAATAACTTGTTGTCCTTGTTAGGTGCCTTGTTAGGTGCCATTGTGTCAGCAACAGCTCATAGTGACCCTGTGAACAACAGCTCTGAACCCTGCCCCCTCTTGAGCCCTCCTCCCCTTCTCTAACACCCTTGGGTCCACTGTTACAGTCACTGTATCAGTCCATCTCATTGAGGGTCTTCATATTTTACAGACCTTCCATCTTTTCAAGCATGATGTCCTTCTCCAAGAACTAGCCCCTCCTAACATGCACGAGTAAGTGAGGTAGAGCAGTACTCTGCTTTTTAATAAAACTCAAAATCACTGCCGTCAAGTCAGTTTTGACTTACAGTGATCTTCCATCAGGTTCAAGTCTGTGGGTTACTATATTATACAGACAGTATAAAGCTATCTTGGACAGAAATATAAAATGTGTACTGGAGCAATCCTAAACTGTTCTTTTCTCCACCCACTAAAATGGTGCAGATTCATAAATTCTTTTTTAATTAATTAGTCAGTTTGAGACAGCACTATGATAAACCATTATCCCTGTGATGGTTAAAATTCTGTTTTCTTTTTTTAGAAACATTTGCAGAGCCATCTCTACAGGCTACTCAGATGAAGTTGAAAAGAGCTCGCCTCGCTGATGATCTGAATGAAAAGATTGCCCAGCGACCTGGTCCCATGGAGCTGGTTGAGAAAAACATCCTTCCTGTGGACTCCAGTGTTAAGGAAGCAATTATAGGCAAGATTGTATCACTTTATTGTTTTCTGTGAGAAAGAGAAATTGAAAATTGGGAGTTTTAAGTAAAACAGATTAGTGCAGTACAAAGTTCACATCAGTTATCAGTATTGTCATTATTGGTATAACAATTCACGTTATATGATTAATATTAGTTGTCTTAATTAGCACAAAGATTCTTCTAGTTCATTTGAGGTGTAAGTCAGTCTTATTCTGACTTCATTATTGTGTTTTCTAAGCTGTTGTGTTTTTCTGCTTAATTTTATTGTCACAAATTTTACATTTTTTCTTTCTTTTAGGAAAAACAGCTTATATACAGTGTTAGCTCAGGGAGTTGAACAGGAGATAAATATAGAAATACTAAGAATGGTATTATTGCCCATTTTATCAAAATCTCCCTTAGTTATTGACATCTATTTATTTTTCTGATTTCCTGGCATAAACTTTATAAAAAAATACTAATGTTAAATATATTACTGATACAGCTGTTACTCATGGGAACATCATATTTGGTCAGTATCCTTTTTGTTAGCATTAATTTAAATCTTAGGTAATTTATATCCCATGTTTTAAGCAGCACAATCAACTGTGGTTCCATTTCATTGCTAAGAAATGGGCCCAAAAAGGTGAGATGTCGTCGGCTAGGCTAGTCCTTGAAGTGGAAACTTTTCACCAGCCAAATCATGATCCCGCTTCCTGATAGCCTTAAAATGGTTTTGTAACAGTTGGGTTCTGGGTGAGGATCAAGCCAAGGCCCACACGTGGCCTTTGGTTTCTATCTTTCTTAAGTTTTAATCGCCTCCTCTAGGTCTCTCTCCTTCGTGTGTATCTGCAGATGAAATGGCCTCGTTTTGTCCTTTAGCATTTCCCATGTTCTTGATTTCCTGATGGCATCTGCATTCCTGTTTGTCATTAAAAACCTTCCTCTGTCTCCCGCACTCTGTAACTGGTGATTGGAGCCAGAGCTGAAGCTAATTCGGATTGACTTGTTGATGTGGGTTGTTTTGGGAAGGTTCTTTATATATACATATATTTTATACTGGTTTACAGACAAAGTTCATAACATTCATATACATTGTTGTTTTTAAAGAATACATCCTTGTGGCCATGTTTTTCCATTCACAAGGTACACAAATGATGCGTAATACTTAGAATATGTGTTTAACCAACTTCAGTTCTTCTAGAAAACATTTTAAAGTTCCGATTCCAAGGCCAAAACCAGAATCCTGTGTTCCCGTAGGTGTTGGGAAGGAGGACTACCCCCAGACGCAGGGTGATTTCTCATTTGATGAAGACAGCAGCGATGCCCTGTCTCCAGACCAGCCGGCCAGCCAGGAGTCGCAGGGCTCGGCTGCCTCCCCCAGTGAGCCAAAAGGCAGTGAAGCGCCATCTCCCGTGACTGCAAACACTCCTGCCCAGGTATTCTCCATCCTCTAAGTCAAGGCTGTGAATTTTCATATATCAGAGGAATTCATTTTCACCAGAAAAAGTACAGAAAGTGCTGAGAGATACAGTGCTTTTTCACTTGTAATGCAACAACTGTTAATATTTTTAATATATTTTACATATTATTTCTGCTCTGCATGTATGTTTTTATTTTATATATGATTTGTAGCTTGCTTTTTTAAAACTTTCATATGTTTTTTTAATTGAGATACATTTTACACATCATACAATCCCACTTTCTAAAGGATGAGATTCAGTCAGTGACTTTTAGCAAACCATCACCACCATCTAATCTGAAAATGCCATCATCACCCTTTTAAAGAAAGCTCATCCCTTTAGCACTCTTCATTTTACCCCAATGTCTCTGTCAGATTGTCACTGTTAGGCTCTGACACAAAGGGACCCCTGAACAGGAGAACAGAGTCACTGCCCAGTCCTGAACCATACTCCAGTCGCTCCTGTATTTGGACCCCTTGTTACAGCCACTCTGTCAGCCTCATTGAGGCTTGTTGTCTTTCTCACTGACCCTCTGCTTCACCATGTGTGATGACCTTCTCTCTAGAGTCCCTCTTTAGAGCATATTCAAGATACGTGACGACATCTCCCCATCCTCACTTCTAAGGAGCCTTCCGACTATGTATTTCCAGAATGAGTTTGTTCGTTTATTCCTTTAGCAGTCAGTGTATTCAGGATTTCTCACCAAGAGCATAATACAAATGCATCAGTTCTCCACTCTTCCAAAATCATTGCTCATCTTTTACATGCATAAGAGTATTTTCAGTAATACCATGCTTTGGGATAGGCACACCTTGGTCCTCAACACATAAAAACTGAGAGATTTTGCAGCAGAGTTGCCCAGTGTTAGGATCATTTCATTTCTTAATTTCTGCTTCTCTCTCTGTTGATTGTCAATCCAAGTAAAACGAAGTCTTTGGCAACTTCGTTCTTTTCTCTGTTTATGATGATGCTTACTGGTCTAGTCATAAAGATTTTTGTTTTCTTTGTGTTGGTGTGTAATCTTTATTGAAGGCTGTTAGTCTTGGGTCTTCATCAGTAAGGACTCTAAGTCCTCTTTGCTTTCAGCAAGTAGGATTATACTATATGAATAAGCTGCTGCTGTTGTTGTTGATTGCTGTCGAGTCGAGCACGACTCATAGCGACCTGAGCAACAAAAGGCGTGAAGCCTTTCTATAACTATAGGCGTTTATTAAAGTTTATAGAGTTTCCAGAGGCATGTTGTGTAGGAAGTGGATGCCACGCCTGCTTGTTTAATGATGCTTCCTCCCATCCTGATGCCTCAGTCCCCCTCTTACAGTCTAGTTTGTCAGATTATTAGTTTAGAATACAAATTGATCATTATCATGAAAGATTTGAACATACCATTCCTGATTTTAAACCACACAATACCCCCTATTCTGCTGAGATACTGTCTCTTCATCTATGTATGGGTTCCACATGAGATTTAAGTACCCTGGAATCCCCATTGTTCTCAATATTATCCATAATCTGTTAATGTGCATGGTCAGTAAAACTTAGGGAAACATCTTTGTAGTATTCTCGCCCTTCAACCATCTGACACATGAGCAATGATAAGACCTCTTTCTAATTCTAAGACCTTTTTCTGGATTATGATTATTATATATGTGGCAGTGCCCTGTTAACATATTACTCCAGCTGTTTGTCATTATCTTCAAGATTTTACTTGCCTATGATATCAGTCCTTAGTATCTGCTCTCTGCTGGACCATGTTTCTTAGAAATGGGTATCGATACAGATCGCTTACAATCAGTTAGTTAAATGTCTTCCAGATTTCTTGGATGAAATCTAGATGAATGAACAACTCCAGCGCTGCATCTCTTGGTAGGACATCTCACTTGGTATTCTGTCCGTTCTTGGAGACTTGCATTTTACCAGTGCCTCCTAGTGCAGTGCGTACTTCTTTAAATACCATTGATTTTAGATAATTTGCTGTTTCCTGAAATGGATTAATTTTTTATGCATTCTCTTTGGTCTTATGACTCTGTATTCATTTCCATCTTCTTTTGATGCTTCCTGCATTTTTTGATCATTTTTCCTTAAAATTCGTTAAGTGTTGTAACTAGAACTTTCAGTTCTTTCTTCAGCTGTTTCATCTTGAGAAATACCCAATGTCGGTGAAAGAGAGAAAGACCCTCGAAGGGATGGATTGACACTGTGACTGTAACAGTGGTCTCAAGCATGTCTGAGATCATGCATATGACACAAGACAGGGCAGAGTTCTGATCTGTACTTCATAGAGTCACTACGAGTCTCACAGTGACCCTACAAACTACAGATTCATCTCCATTGAGTAGTCATAGAAGACACATAACAATACAACAGGCAGTACAGGACATCCACCAGTTTGCGGCTTTTCATCTCTTCATATGAGTTTTACTTTATGTCTAAACTATTGTTCTATGTAATGGGAATGGTATAACAGGAAATGTTTTTCCTAAAACATAGTATCCATAGTATCTTGGGAAGGACTTTGGTAATTATCTACTTTTACCCTTTCACAACAGGGGAGAAGACTTGGGCCTCGAGAAATACAAAAGCTTAGAATTGAAAGATTTGTCTGCTTTGTTCCGTTCGTGAACATTTGTTAGAAAGCGCATCCTTCAGCATTAGTTTCTTCATTTTGCTCACCGCCAAGATCTGAAATCTATTCGTTAAATATGTTTGTTCGTTTAGTTGCCTCCATGCTCCCCACTTAAATGTGAGCCTGTGCTGGCAGAGTCTGATTTTTAAAGGATCAGAGCTGTTTTTTTCTGTGTGTGTCTTTAGCGTCTAACACAGAGCCTGACAGAAAAGGTGCTGAGTCAGTGTTGAACCGAATGAAGCATCACAAGCAGGAATGCGCAGCGTTTGTGTGAGCCGTGCTTATGTCTCCTTCCGTTTGAGAACAGCGTCTCTGCGGAGACTCATCAGAGAGCGTGAATGGCTCCCTTCCTGTTCATTCATCCCAGCTTACCGTCAGCCTGGGCACGGGTGACTCTGGCCCCTCAGCTTGACTGCATCAGCCTAGAGGAAGAATGAGGGTCAGTGGCCAGGCCCCAGTCTAAACAGAGAGGAGAGGAGGGTGAGAAAGACCACCCCGACTGTGTTCTCACACATTTGCTGCACCCTGGTTTTGGGCTTTAAAAATAGGGCTAAGAAGAATGTCAAGTATGTGAGCGAATACCATTAAAAAACAGCACTGCTGATCCCTCTGGCCTGGCTGTTCTCTATCTGAATGAGTCAGGAGACCAGGCAGCTGTGAGCGTGGCTGGAGCTTCTCATGCGTAACACAGACAGTTTGTCACCTCAGCCACCTCCCTGTTTATGGCCCTGTGGCTCTGCCGACCTGAGAGGTTATCACTCTCCTTTTCCCTTTCTCTGCTTGTTACGTTTGGGAGGGGAGGGGGTTTCTCCAGACACTTGGTCTCCAGTTAAGCTTGTAAGTGAGAAATGTTAAGCACAGGCAAAGCCCACCCAGTAAATTGACATTCCAGGATGCCTCAAAGGAAAATAAGAATAACAAGATTTCTTCTTCTTTTTTTCCCCCCTGCCCTCATAATCCTGTGTGGTTGAGTGCTAAGTGTTTTATTTACCTTATATTTACCTTTGGTATTTTGTTTACCTTGTAGATTTGTCTGTCATAAAAGTTGTGGCACAGGAGTGAGTTCCATTCTGTGTTGAAAAAGCTGCTGAGGGCCCATGTCTCGGGGGTTCCGCCCCGTCTGCCTTGAGCTCATAAACCTGGCCTTTGTTACAAGACTGAGTTTTGCTTCACGTTTCTCTTCCTTTCTGTCTAGGACCTTCTATCATGATCCCTTTTAGAGAGCGTAACCTTGGTACCTGGGCACTATCTAGTTCTTTTGGTCTCAAGACCATTGAAGTTAATTGATGATTGCAAAGTTCATTGGTGCTGTGGAATAATTGTTTCCATATTTATTTTATTTTCTGCCCCTCTCTTTGCCTCAGACAGGGAGAGGCCAGTAGTTGGTCTTTACATGGCAACTTGTAAACTATTAAGTCCCCAAACATTACTCACCCATGTAGAGGGTGGAATGTTGTCCTTGTGGACTGTGTTATGCCGGCTAACCTTAGTGTCTCCCGAGGATACTCCATCCCCTCAGGCTGTTTTGTTATAGTTAAGAAGTTTATGTAGTATGGCCCTTTTGGGCTCTCCTGTCTACAGGAATATATTTGTAATAAACACATTTAACTCATGTTGAACTATTGTTGTTAAATGCTTTGGAGTCAAGTATGACTCATAATGACCCTATGAACAACAAATATGACCTTGTCCTGTCCTGTGCCATTCCTCATCATTTCTTTTTTTCTCTTTATTTTATACTGGTTTATTTACAAAGTTCAAATACATTGTATTTCGCACTGGATCGTCCCATTTCCTTGACACCCCCCTTCCACCCATCAGATTGTGCAACCCTGTGATTAACACCACCACCCTCCACCCATCCTCACCCCTCTGCGTCCACACTCCCTCACCTTAGATCCTCATACTCGTTCCACTACACATAATTATGATTATGATTATGATTATTATATACTTGAGCCCGTTGCTACAGTCACTTGTCAGTTCATCTCAGCAGTTCATCTTGTTAAGGGTCTTCCTCTCTTTTGCTCACCCTCCGTCTTTCCAAGCATGATGTTTCTTTCCACTGAATAGCCTCTCCCAGCAGCAGGCCCAAAATCTATAGATGACGCTTCACTGTCCTTGCCTCTGAGGTGCACTGTGGCTGCACTGCTGTCTGCCAGCTGGAGGATGAAGGTGGCATTGATGGATCGTGCTGCACACCCAGCCCTCGGGTCATTTCTGAACTTAGGTGTTGGCGTGTGGTGCTGACACAGCCCCAGTTCTGTCTGCTGACTACACACCATTACCAAGCGGCCTCTTTTCTGTTGAAGACATCCCAGTGCACCGTCTTTAGGCTCTGGGCCCCTAACAG